CTGGTGGTCAAAGGATATGCTCAAAAAGAAGGTATTGATTTCAATGAAATATTTTCTCCTGTGGTTCGACTAACAATAGTTTGAGTAGTTTTGGAAATGTGTGCTACATTGAACTTTCATCTAGAGCAGCTAGATGTTAAAACAACTTTTCTTCATGGAAATCTTGAAGAAGAGATTTACATACTCCAGCCTGAAGGTTTTAAAGAAAAAGAAAAGAAGAACTTGGTTTGCAGGTTGAACAAATCTCTGTACGGTCTAAAGCAGGCACCGAGGTGTTGGTATAAGAGATTTGATTCCTTCATTATGTGCCTTGGATACAACAAACTTAATGCAGACCCTTGTGCTTATTTCAAGAGTTCTGGTGATAACGATTTTGTTATATTACTGGTGTATGTGGATGACATGTTGGTTGCAGGACCCAACAAAGATCATATTAAAGAATTGAAGGCACAATTGGCTAGGGAATTTGAAATGAAAGACTTGGGATCAACAAACAAGATTCTAGGGATGCTAATTCACCGAGACAGAAGTAATAGAAAGATTTGGCTTTCACAAAAGAATTATTTAAATAAGTTCTTGTCACGATTCAGCATGCAAGATTGTAAGCCAATTTCTACCCCTCTTCCTATTAACTTCAAATTATCCTCCAGTATGAGTCCTAGCAGTGAAGAAGAGAGGATGGAGATGTCTCGAGTACCGTATGCATCGGCAGTGGGAAGTTTAATGTTCCCTATGATATGCACAAGACCAGACATTACACAAGCAGTGGGAGTGGTTAGTCGGTACATGGTGAATCCAGGCAAAGAGCATTGGAATATAATAAAGAGGATCCTGAGATACATCAAAGGGACCTCAAATGTTGCATTATGTTACGGAAGATCAAATTTACTTATCAATGGGTATATTGATTCTGACTATGCAGGGGATTTGGATAAAAGCAAATCTACTACAAGATATGTGTTTAAAGTTGCTGGTGGAGCTGTAAGCTGGGTTTCAAAATTGCAGTCAGTTGCGGCTACATCCACAATAGAAGCATAATATGTAGCAGCCACATAAGCCAGTAAAGAAGCAATTTGGTTGAAGATGCTATTGGAGGAGCTTGGGCACAATCAAGAGTATGTCTCTCTGTTTTGTGACAGTCAAAGCGCCTTGCATCTAGCAAGGAATCCAACATTTCATTCAAGGAAAAATCACATACGAGTTCAATACCATTTTATTCGTGAAAAGGTGGAAGAAGGGACGGTAAATATGCAGAAGATCCACACTAAAGACAACATAGTAGATTTAATGACGAAGACGATCAACGCTGATAAATTTACCTGGTGTCGATCCTCTTGTAGCCTGTCAGAAACGTAAGCAACATGAAGGTACAAGGTAGAAAGAATGGTGTGAAGATATGATTATTCTAATCAAATATTCAAGTGGGAGATTATTAGTTGTCATGCAAAATTATTAGTTGTCATAAACTAATAATAGTTGTATAATGCATAATAATGGTTCATAATGCATTGTAAGTTGGCAACAATAATGGTTCATAGTTGGCACTAATAATGGTTGAAAAGTGACATGGCATAATCACACATTTAGTCATTGTAATTTAGGGTATTTTTAAGATTAGTCCTTAAAGCGTCTACTATAAATACCCTAGCTCATTTAGCTTCAAAACCATCCCAAAGCATTCTAGCTTTCTTCCAATACTAGAGAAAATTTAGAGAGTTTCTTGAGAGTTGTTTTCTCCTTTTTATCAAGAGAGAATTATCATTGTTTTCTCCTTGGTAAATTGAGAGAAGTTGTAATTCCTATTTTCTCATAGTGAAATTCTTCTATCATTGCCCGTGGTTTTTACCCTATATTATTTAGGGGTTTTCCACGTAAATTTTGTGTCTCTTTTATCTTCATTTTTATTTTCTCAAATTATCACTTGTGATTTTGATTTATTCGATAGCCGTTTTCCGCAACAAACTCTCCTAACATTCCTCTAAGCTCGAGACTTATCTCAGTCAAACTTGTTAGTTAGTCCTCCATCTTTGCCTTAGATTAGATAGAATGAGACCATCTATACTATATATGAGATAAGCATGTCTATGCACTAGACGAGGCAAGACTTAGAATAAAAATTAGCTGCTTCCCACATAAGAGATAGAGAAAACTTCCTTTTAGCGTAATGTGTAGTGCTGAAAATGTTTTAATACATACAGTTACCAGAGTTCTTTTTCTTCATTTAAAACACTTAAATTCTCCTAGAATATCTTCCTTGTTATCTCTCCAAGAATGTTTATATCATTTGCAATGTCTCCATTGCATTGAGATACTTCTACCGTGTTATCATAACATGGAGATGTCTTCTATCTAGTTAAGAGCATCGAGCTGCCTCCACTACCTTATGAATGAAATAATATCTTTATCATTTCTTTATTAGCCAACCATACGAGTTAAGACGTCCTCATTATGGATAAGTAACATTGAGATACCATCGCCATTTTCTGTAGAAGTATCGAGATATCTTCACAGACCTACAAACTCTTTAAGGCGTACAGTTACCTTCACCCCAAGCTCACGACGTATAGAATTTACCCGAGGGGTCTAGTTATCTCCGCTCTAGCAATAGAAATTTCTCCATTGTACCTTAACGAGCATCTAGATGCCTTTTCCCTAGCGAGAGTGATTCCTTAGCAATTGAGAGAACTCAACGCTATTCGACCAAGTAGAGGAAGCAACTCAGTGTGTGGTAGTGTACTATGGTGAGTGCAGAGGCATCTAAATGTGTACCATATACTACAAGTACAACTAAGGCATCTTTGCCATCGTGTTACTAAGAAAAGACATCTCAATGCCAACGTGGAAATATCTTGACCCCTCATGTTGTTTTGTGATCATAAGCCGAGATAAAGACAACTCAACACCATACAGAGGCAACTCACAATCAGTAGGTATGAAGATAACTCAATGTTTCTATAGTTAATGGGTGAAGGCTTCTCTCACGTTCAAAGGCATTCCATCTCTTACAATGATTGAAGCTATCTCAACACTCGGAGCAGGGATAAAGCGATGCTCTTTTAACAGTGGAGGCAACTCAATGTCATGATAGTGTAATAAAGCATAATAGGAACATTTCAAGTGATTCAAGATCTAATCGGAGATGAAAAAAACTCATGTGCATTAATAATTCTAAAATTACATGCTACCTAGGAGGAGGTTTTTTTCGTTAAATGATTAAGGTGTACATTGGTTGTCTCTTATACTTTGCACAAGGTGTTACTACCAAAAATATGTTAGTTCATAAATGTGTTACCTGTTTGTAAGGTGAGACTTATCGATACTCGTGAGAAGTTATGGAGGGTTAATGGTTGCACATGCTTTTCCATGCTTTCCTTTGATGTTGCATCATCTACGGTGGGATTCCTTGCATAATGCTTCCTCCAACACATGGTTAAGCCCTTGAGCGCAATAATGTTGGATGGAAGGGTTGGCCGACTTTTCCACCCATATGTTTGGGTCACTGCTTTAGCTATTACTACATTAGGCCCAAATTAGGGAGGTTCATGGGATGTGTTTAGGAAAACTAAGCCTAGAACGACGTAACTTACGCATCCCCTAACACTCGTAAGGGAGACGATCCTAGCTGGGAGGACAAATAACATTGCTTGTGTTGCCCCCTTTTTTTACCTCTGTTCTCTTCACCATATGCACCTTTGGCACGCTTCAATGGACTAGCTAGAGATGAGGTTGGTTGTTTTGGTTTTTAGAGAGGGTGAGGATAGATGTTTTAGCTTTGTGGGGGAGATAATGATAGTTATTTTTTTTTTGGGTAAGGTTTCAACTAATTCTTTTGACATAATATGTTTCATGTTCATTGCACCAATTGTTGATGAGAAAAATTAATTTTATTAACTGTGAGTGATTCACCCCTTCTGGTTTGGCCAGAGAGTCGCGACCAACGAAGAGACTATCGTAGACCGATATTTAGATGAACAAAAGGTTCGATCATGGAGATAAGAAAAAGGGGTGTTCATTGTAGAAGGTGCCAACTCCTCTCTCAGTCTTGGTCAGAATATTTATAATGATCTTTAATACTTGTGTCAATCATAAGATAATAAGGCTATTTATAGACTAATAGGCTAGATGGATTCCTTAGTCTTTAAATTCCGTTATGGTACGTCACGTGGACATGTAAGAAGTTTTATCTAGATGTATCATCCATAAAGAGTAGTTGGCTCGATGCCTTTATTCACAGAAGCCAAGCTGTTTGGAGATTCTGGTAATAGAAAAGGCTGGTCTAGGGTTCTCAACTATAGAGATATATTAGTATCAGGAGGTCATTCTCCAGATATATAATAGTAATACATAATTAAGATAATAAATAATCCATTTATATAATAAATAAATAAATATAAAAATATTAACATTGTGAAGTTTGGTGGGGTACCTGCAATGTAAAGAGGCTGTAAGGAAATAAAAGGCTTAGCATATTTATCGTGAAACCATAGATATTTTGGAATATTATTACATAACCGCACCAGAAACCTATCATTTCTACCCTTGAATAGCTATTTCTTAGCGCGCCCCCCCCCCGTCAAATAAAATCCCAATACCGATTCCCCCAAAACCAAAGCCACCACCAATGTTTGCTTGAATGAATATCAATCGGTGTATTTTAGCCATGCATCGTTAAAAAAATATTGGTGCATGAACTCTGGGTATAAAAAGGGTAAAACGATGGAGCTTCTGCGTATGAAGGAATTGTTATTACTTTGGTCCATAATGCAAAGCACATGTCTTGCTCTCGTGGGTGGGAATCACACAGCCGCCCGATTTTGTACCCGCTAAGTTTACCTCTCTTTCTCGCCTAGCGTTTATTTCTTGTTTTCCCTTTCAAGTTTCATCTGCTAGTCTCAAGATTTTTTTATATTTTGTTTCTCTCACTACAACTGATTGGATTCTTGTTGCTGATCTCTAAGCCCTTTTCTGTTTGTGTTTTTTAAAATCAAGAGTTTCCATCAATGGAAACCAAATGCCATAACAACAAGTGTAAAGTTTGGCAAAATGACATTAATTTGCATTCTGGTACATGTTTGATGGTTAAGGTTCTTCGTTCCAGGGTTTTTAAGCTCCTTGGTCGGTTCTTGATGGTTTTTTCTTTATCCATTGTGTTACTTAAATTCATCGTGAACAACAAAACTGGTATGAACCCTGAAATTATCTTCGATAATGCTGTTGTCGCCGCTGATCCGGTTAATCTGGAGTTTCTGCCAGTTTTGTTCAATGATTTGAACAATGAAGGTATTCTGTAACCGGGGGAAAAAGGACTATTGTTGAGTGATGAATATGATGAAGAAAAAGAAACCATTCAAGGTTCTTTGTTATCGACGAAAATTGATATGGAATTCAGTGATGTAAATGATTTGAAAGAAAAAAGCTTTGTCCCCAATGAGTCCTTTGATTTCATCTTCACAAAAAGATTTCAATCCACACACGAATTCATCGACCGCATCCTCAAAGTCGGTGGCATCGTTTCTGTTCAAGAGCTGGGTGAATGGTCTTCACATTCATTCAACAATCCGTCTGATTATAAGATTGTTTACTACAAGAAATTTCAGTCGATAAATGTTTTTGTAATGAAAAAGCTCAAAAATGTTCGAACAACCTTGGCCACCACCAAAAGGCGGCTCTTAGGGTATAACACATCGGAAGCAAAGAAAGCGGCATTGAAGAAACTAGAAGATGTTCTTCTCGAACCGCCGAGAGCGTTCTCGGGGACATCGAAAACCTACCGCAAACGAACCAAATATTTACCGGACTTATTGGGGGACACGCTCGAAAGCTACCCTCGTCGGGTTTTCATCGACGTGGGCTCGCTGGAGGAAGACGTTGGCAGCAGCACCAACTGGTTTTCCAAGCACTACCCAACACGGAACCTGGAATTCGAGATGTACAAGATTGAGACACTGACCAAGGAGTCATGGAAGAAAAAGGCGGTGCCGGAGACGATGGGGATGTCGGATTGGCTGAGAAAGAACGTGAAAGAAGAAGAGTATGTGGTGATGAAAGCAGAGGCGGAAGTGGTTGAAGATATGGTAAAGAGCAAAGCTATAAGATTGGTTGATGAATTGTTCTTGGAATGCAACCCTAAAGGAGTTGGTGGAAGAAAGAATATGAGAAAAAGGGCTTACTGGGAATGTTTGGCTTTGTATGGCAAGTTGAGGGATGAAGTTGTTGCGGTACATCAATGGTGGGGTTGATTTCAGTTTTCATTTTAAATTAATATTTATCTATATTTTTGTAGGGCAAGCAACATGGTTTAAGGTGTGTGTTGAGAAAAAGACATTTATTTATTGATTTATTTTTACTAAAATATATCTAAAATTTGTTTAAGGTGTCTAAGTTCTTTTAAATTTTCAATTAATATATATATATATATATCTAAAATTTGTTATCGAGTATTTTTAGATTTTTATTGTTTTCATCACATTCTAGCACAAACACCAGATAATTTTATTGTTTCAGTGGGTGGAGTACACAAATGGTCCCTCAACTATAGGGTGATGCTTTATTGAGTCATTTGACTATTAAATATTATAAAATGGTCATTCGACTATAGAGTGTTGCTTTGTTGACTGCTCTGACTATTAAAGTTACAAAATGGTAACCCAACTATTTAGTATGTTCCAAACTTATCTTTTTCCGTGAAAAAATTCAATATAGTATGAGTTGGAGGTTAACCTGTTGACTGATATATGATAGTTTTTTTATATTATAGAATTATATTTTTGTCATATCTCAATCCTCAGGTTAACATCTAACTCAGACTGCCATTAAATTTTTAACATAAAAGAACGGGTATGGAACATACTAAATAGTTGGGTGACCATTTTGTAGCTTTTAATAGTTGGGAGACTCAACAAAGCAACACCGTATAGTTGAAGAACCATTTTGAAACTTTTAATAGTTGAGGGACTCAATAAAAATCACCCTATAGTAGAGGGACCATTTGTATACTTTACCCAAATATATATTAGGTATTTTATTATTAATGGTAAAATGTGGTTATAATTGATATGGATGATCCATTCTTTCTAATTTTATTTAATGGTAAAATGGGGAGGAAATTAAATCAATTGGGAGAAAGGAGAGGGCTCCTAAATTTACGTTCATGATAATTCCAATAAAATTTTGAATATCGAAACTAAAATCCAATATCAAAATTGGTTAAGTTACAAAAAGATCTATATATTCTAAATTTGAATATACGTTATAAATATTATGAAATTCGTTGCATTGAGTTACGTATATGTGCTCTATATTATATTTTTTTATGAAAGTTTTCACATTCACCATTATTGTCAATTTTGTTTCTTTTTTTTTCTTTTTGTCAAAATTTGCTTTTGAATTGAATTTTTTGTCAAAATTCACTTTGAATGAATTTTTTTGTTTTAAATTGTTTTTTTAATCAAAGTTGGTTGTTTTATCATATGTATATCTTATTTCTTCAATGATGTTTCGAAACTCATCTTTCTGTTTCGATATCAATTGAGTCCAACTGTTATATTTTTAAAATATTATTACTCGATTTTGATACTCACCCTTAATTTTGAAACCAAAGTACCAGGTGACCATTTAATGTTCTACATCAATGCTCCCAATGGCTATAATTCACCTCACAGCTCCAAACGACTAGGAATATATTAGAGGATATGAAAATAATCAAAAATAAGATAGAGAACAAACATAAACATTATAGAAAGAAAATATCAACATCAAAGAGTCTTATAGTACTAAATAGTTATATTTTTCGACGTAAAACATTTGTAAGCTTAAATTGTCAATATTGCTAAAGTGTTATTTTAGTGAACACTTGATTGTGTATAATCAAGGTTTTGGGTATGAACTTTGAAAGTATTTGTAAGGTTGGATATTGTCTTTAAAGATGGATAAATCTAGTGAATTTAAGAAATCTTTAGTATGGATACTAAGATACTGGATGCAGATTTAATTTAGAAGTCAAACCACAATAAATCATTATATAAATTTTCTATATTTCAATTGCTTCCAACATTAAATTTATATTAAAAAGTTTATGGGCAAAATTGCTTCTAAGAAAAGGTCAGTGGCTAAATTGCAGCCATTCTTTTTGTTAGCAAAATAAAATTCACAAGGATAATAAAAGACGAACATAATAGTATGAATGTGATGAAACAATTTCACTGAGAAGTTGAAAATATAATGTATAAACATGGGAATGAAACTTTGTACATAATTCTGGGATGGATCAGAAGAAAAGGCTTACAAAAACAAAGAATCTATAGACACTCGTTTTTATCCGAATCTCGAAAAATTATTATTATATTATTATTATTATTATTATTACATTCACATATTTTTCAGGCCCATTCCATTAACAAACTCGGAGCCAACAAAGATAAGGCCCTCACCGAAGCCCATTACAACCAACACACCTCAACCAGAAGACCTGACCCAGTACATACAAGCCCAGCAACCTAATTACAAAACCTGTGACCCATTAAAGCAGCCCACTAGAACCCAAGGTCCGACCCAACAGCTGATCCAACCGACCCAATTCAATTGACTCGACCCGATTCTACCTAAGGTTTCATCATAACCCTAGATAGCTATTGTTGCCGTCGCCGCCTGTTTCTCCTTTCACCGATTGGATTTCTGACACCGCCGCTTCACCTACAGTGACATCATCAATAGTGAGGATGGTAGAAATATCATACCCAAAAATAAAAACAAGTCCAATCCTATTTCTGTCAACAAGTAGGATAATGATATCCTATGTTTTGGTGGCAGTGGATTTCAACCAAGGAGTATGCAACATAAAAGGGAAAAAGATTTGAGAACCATTTTTTTCAGAGAGAGAATCGGGGAGGGAGCCAGAAGAAAAAAAAACAGAGAGAGTTTTGAAAAATACCCAGAAAAATCAAAGTAGAAAAAGAAAGGAAAAGAAAAATCTTACCCTTGCAGATCTGGCCTTGGGTAACCTCACCGGAGTTGGAAGAGCCCTTCATCGAAGGTAAAAAAAGTCGTCTCTTTTCCTAGATCTAGGGATTTGTGGTAAGATTTAGGTTAAGTGGGGTTGGGTTTCGGGTTAAGGTGAGAGAGGATCCTTTTGGGAACATTTGCTTCCTGTGACCACGTGAGTCAACGTGGGCCGTCATGGCCGCCGCCGGTGAGAGGCAGCTTCCCCTCTTCGATGAGGGGAAGTTGAGAGAGTTTTTGAAATCTCTCTCTCTTTCCTCGGTTGAGAAACAAAACAAATGAAAGGTTGAAGGATTTTTGGCCTTTGATGGTTATATTTATATATAACCCGAAACGACGTCGAGTAGAACAGAAAAGTTATGCGTTTAGCGCATGGGCTAATCACGCAGGGAGGGTTCCAACTTTGTAACATGTGTTTTGGCCACTTAATGAAAGTTTCATCATTCCATTTTGGTTTCTTCTTTTATTTTACGTTTTATTTCAGTCCCTATAATTTAGTTATAATATTTGTTCATATTTAGATTTTGGACCTTTAATTGCATAATATTCAATTATAGTCCTTAATATTTATGAATGTGCAAAATCGTGTATTTTATGTTTTAAAGCATATGTTTTGCCCCGAGTTCATTCTAGTCACCATCTTTAATGCCTATGTGCTTTGGGTTTATTGCTCATTGGGTCCTTGATGATCTGTTTCTATGATTTTTTACTTCATTAAATTATTTAATTTATTTTTTCTATTTTATTTTTATTTTTATCATGTATGTATATTTTTATATATTTTTATGTAAATATATGTTATGTCAGATTATAGGTGTTTAATATTTTTAAACCCCTTTTATTAAGTAAGATTAGTCCTTATTTTAATTCACTGTATTCGTTCATGTGTGTTTTAGTTCGAATTTATACCATGGTTTCTTATCATTTTTCTTTACAACTCAAAATTTCATATATATATATATATATATATATATATATAAAATGAATATTATTAAACATTTGCACTATGAATGTATTTTATTCGTTTTTAGGTATGTATTGTGCAAGTTTGCTCGATATATTATGGCCCTGTATGTGTTTAAATATATATTTTTAGTTATTAATTTATATTCTTTTCTGTATTATTCGAATAGTTTCGAGAACGGTATTTGTAGAATGGTCATGGAAAGTATCACTTGATCGAAATGGTACAATCCGATACGACGTTCAAACCAAATGGGAACTTGAAATAAATCTTACTTATTTTTATCATCTTTTATTATTCAATACGTTTTAGGTAGCAATTTATTTTATTTTACGCGAATGTCCATTTTCAGTTTATATGCTCGATGCACATTTTTATCGGGGAGGGAATATTTTTTGTACATATAAGAAATAGACGAAATAGCTTTGCCGACGGAGGATTGCTAATTTCGAGATTTCTTTCAAGTGACACAATACCAATTTTGGGCGCTGTGGGTGTGCTAACACTTCCCCACGCGTAACCGACTCCTGAATCCATTTAATCAAATCTTTGGTGACATAGACCAACTTTTGTATCAAAAAATGATTTTTTTCGTAAAACTTTTTTTAAAAGACGTTTTTAGGTATTCGACCTACCTAGCCCAAAGGTCGACGACGACTCCTTTCAATTTAATTCAAATCAATTCAAAATCACCAATTTTCCAAAATAAAAGTCATAATAGTTTTTTAAATAATATTTTAATTGTTTCAAAAAAATGGTTATGACAGCTTGGCGACTCCGCTGGGGACATTTTTTTAGAGAGTCAGGTTGTTAGTCTCTTAGACATTGTCGTTGTGGTGGAAATTATGAATTCGAGTCTATAGTTAGCTTATGATCCATTTATTGAAGTTTTTGTAATTTCTTCATTTATTTAAATTTTCGTACTAACGTTTCGATTTATATTTTTTAGCTTTTGTCAAGGTTTTATCAAGTTTTTTCCTTATTTTGTTTTCCTTTTGAGTCAAAGGTTTGAATGTTCCTCCCTACACAAATCATGTGCATTTGTAAGACATAAGCTCTAGACCCAAGCTTCGATCAAAATAAGTCGGATGAATGCTTTACTCTCATAAGAATTTATTCTTCGTATGAGTTTTAACAAATAACCCATGGGATACATACCTTATATTCGTAGGGATTTATTCATCGTATGTGTATAAGGCAGTGAATCCCCTCAAATTGAACTCATTCCGTTCGAAACATGTAATGGGTAAAGATCGAGGGTTTGGCAGCCCAAGGGGG